GATTTAGACAAAGCTCTTCTTTCTCCTGACATAAAAGGGCTCAAATGTAACCTAATTTTGTTAAATTTTCCATCACAAGATTTTGATCTAGTGCATTAGAAAATGATAATGTCAATGAAAATACTGGAACTAACTAGGTAACACTGTAAACATAATACATAGAATAATCACTATATTCTAAAAGATGCGACATCTGAACTAAAAGAACTGATCTGAAGAGATAATACTCAGATTGTACTTTGCGTACGATATGTTCTAAAAGATGCGACAGAGCAAGAGCTAAGTTACTGAATCTAGAGAACAAAAGACTTTACATAACACACATCTGAACTAAAAGAACTGATCTGAAGAGATAATACTCAGATTGTTCTTTGTGTACGATATGTTCTAAAAGATGCGACAGAGCAAGAGCTAAGTTACCGAATCTAGAAAACAAAAGTCTTTACATAACACACAGAATAATCAACAAATATTGATACCAATAAATATCTTTCAAAACTTGAAATAAGAAAGAAATTAACAAAATAATCATTTAACTGCTACACTAAAGGCATGTTCGGCAATGTCCTAGTAATCTTCACACTCAAGCAATTATAATGTATTTAAGCTTTAAAATGAAACGTTTATACCTAAGCAATGACTGGACAATTTGTGAATACACACACTTCTATAATATTCATGTATACTCATAACAACAAATTGTATGATAGCAATTTTTAAGTACAACACAAGATTTTTCTGTAATAATCTCACTGGAAAACAAAAACATTAATAATTTAACAAAGCAGAATGATTTTTAAAGTCGACATTTTTGTAAAGTTCAAGTACACACTTCCTTTCTTGAGCTAAAGATGTGTGATTATAAAAATTATTCGTCTTTCATAAAATGAATCTTAAAATAAAACTATGTCTACCTCGGTAATGGCCGTGTCACGTCCATAGTGAGAAAGGATGTGATTAGCTAACTGTAATAAAAGTTCTGTTGTGACCAGGTCGTTTCCATGGAGACCACCTAAGTAACGAACTTCAGGTATTCCTGGTTGATGCTTGCCTGGGTGAGCAGATATTTCAAGAACTAAGATGTCTCGCTTCTCAACAGTTTTACCAATACTATAAGAATAAAAACAGAAACTGTGTTTTACTTTTTGTCGAACTTGTCACACAAGATACTACACAGAGAAAACTTGTAACAAAAAATACTTCTCAGATAGTACTTTCAGTAGAAGTTATTACAAAAGATACTTTATGTAGAACTTATCTCTGGAGATAATACGTTGTACTTTATGTAGAACTTATCTCTGGAGATAATACGTTGTACTTTATGTAGAACTTATCTCTGGAGATAATACATTGTACTTTATGTAGAACTTATCTCTGGAGATAATACGTTGTACTTTATGTAGAACTTATCTCTGGAGATAATACTTTGTACTTTATGTAGAACTTATCTCAGGAGATAATACGTTGTACTTTATGTAAAACTTATGTCAGGAGATAATACCTTGTACTTTATGTAAAACTTATCTCAGGAGATAATACCTTGTACTTTATGTAAAACTTATGTCAGGAGATAATACCTTGTACTTTATGTAGAACTTATCTTCAAGAGATAATATTCATCTTTACTAAGGATTAAAATCATTACTTTAATCTTTACTAAGGATTAAAACCACAATTTTAATCCACAGTGATAAAAAGAAAATAATAAGAATTTTTATATGATTACAGAATTCAGTGTCAAAAATTACAAAATACAAGAAGAAATATGATTTAACTTTTGAATAATTAATGGTCCATAAATATTAATGTTCTTTGAGCATGATCTAAAAAAAAAAAACTTGATTGGAATTTTGCAAAAATATTATTCAATTTTACGTTTTGAAGTGATCGCTTTGTTTTATTCTGTAGAAATATTTATTATTTAATTTGTGTTAAAAGACCTCACTAAGCCCCCCTCCCCAATTTCCCCCTCTTCATACCTGTACAGTTGTGATACAGTGGAATAATTGTTGACCAAAGTTTTCATGAAGTTTGTAACTTCAGAAAAATTGTGATAAGTCAATCTTGACATTACTGGCTCCAAAACAACATTTAGCTTTTTTGGCTTCTTCTCCTCGACAGTAGAAACAACTGTATGATTCTCATAACCAGGAGCAGCGACTGTTTCCAGAAGAGGTAATAATAATTAATTAATCTGAACCATACACATAAACATATTGTGTATCAAGTTGCTTTAACTGAGATGGAACTCACACCAATTCCTATAAATAACAACAAGTTCTAGAGTTAGGTCTACATCGAACAATGTCAGTTATGAAAGTGACAATTTTGAAAAGTTCTTAGAAATGTAGTGAAAATACATACATGATAAACAAACACTAGGTCAGATTTACATAATATAGTGTCAGTGAATATAATAATAAAAAACAAACACTAACGTTTATTTATTATTAACAAACAGCTCTCCTATTGTCAGTTTTACAGATAAATAACTCTACAAGTGTCACATTATTGATAAACAGCTCTGCCAGTGTCAGTTTTACAGATAAATAACTCTACAAGTGTCACATTATTGATAAACAGCTCTCCTATTGTCAGTTTTACAGATAAATAACTCTACAAGTGTCACATTATTGATAAACAGCTCTCCTATTGTCAGTTTTACAGATAAATAACTTCCCCAGTATCAGTTTTACAGATAAAGAACTTCCCCAGTGTCAGTTTTACAGATAAATAACTCTACAAGTGTCACATTATTGATAAACAGCTCTGCCAGTGTCAGGTTTATACATAAGTAGCTCTGCTAGTGGCATGTTTTGTTTATTTTTAGATATACAATAAAATGCAAAAAAAAAAAGATGCACATTTTAATATTTTGTAACTTAAATGAAACTTTCTTCATGGAGGTTAAAAATTCTGATCTCACAGGAGGTTAATACCACACTTTTTCAAGGTTGTATAGTGTGTGAAAGAGTTAAGAGATCAGTTAAGAAACAAACATCATTAAAATATTTTCTTTACTTTTAGAGAAAGAGTTTTCACCTTATAAACTCTCTCTCTAAGAAAACTTTGAGACAAGAGAGTAGTTAACTAGTTGCACTTCAATGGGGTCCCTGAAAGTATTCTGTTTCAAGAGTAAATAAAACCAACATTCAAAGTAATAAATTGTTTTATTTCTTGCATTTCAAGTTCGTATGTTATGATGTGTTGTAGCCTACAGAGTGCATAATTCTTCTCGTGATTCATGGCATGCTTACGTTTTATTAACGTCATCACAGTACAAATTGCAACATTAAACATCCCTTTTGTGACGTAATTTTAGTGTCTACTGACTGACAGACAACACACTACTGTATAATGGTGCCAGTGGTTAAAACATGTCACCCCTACAGGCAGCCTTCGGCCCCCTTTTAGGGAAATCAACATGATGAAGGAACGTGAAGGTGTACCAAGATTAAGTCCTGGAGTTAACCCATCAAACCAGAATTAGCATTAACATTTAACTCCCGTGAGGCATTTTAATATAAAAAAATTATCTCGAGAAAGACTAAAGCTAAGTCCTGACTGTTTTCATATCTGAGGCATTAGTAGTGTTATTTTGTGTTCATAAAAGGAATGACATTTCTCAGTACCATCATTACAAAACTTAACACCACAGCACATTTCTGTGTACTGAAAATGTTACTACTCGTATTTCAGCATAACTTTGCCGCAAACCTAACTAGTGTAGATTTTATAATAATTGCAATGGTCTTGGTAGGTCAGGGATTTTTATAACACTGTGTGTTTTTTAGCATGTGAAATAAGAACAAGTAAGTTGTAACAATTCCCCCTCTTGTCATCAGCACCTACAGTACCCATTATTTATATATGATAAGAATTTATGTTTCAGCCATTTCCAGTTCACAGTGTTAATGAGAATAAAACTAGCACGGTAAAATAAGGGAGGGAATACAAGAAAAAATATCAAGTTTTATATAATGCTTTCTTTCTTCAGATCCTTAATCTGTGATCGCTGTATATTTGACGTTCTTTGTATTTTAGTATTAAATTCTATTATATTCGATTTCTCTTGTGAGTCCAAGTATTTTATTTGATGACAATTAAGTTTCGACATTTCAATTTTACTGGATATAACTAGTAGTAATATGTAATTGTTTGTTTATGAATTTTTGTGTAAAGTCATCCAAAGCGTATTACGAACATAGCCATCCCTAATTTTGAGTTGATAAGACTAGAGGGAAGGCAGCTAGTCAGCAGCACCCACTGGCAACTCTTGTCCAACCAAATGGAGGGACTTGTCCATCACTATTATAGCGCATCCATTTCTGTAGCAACGAGCTGCTAAAACAAATCCACGGTTTCACAGTTTGAACACACTAACCACTAGGCCTATGCGCAGTCTAATAATATGTACTAATGAAACGTTTTTTTTTCTTCAAAAATGTACAAAAAATAAACGAATGTAGACTGTAAAGATCTTTTTTTTATTTAACAGATGAAAGCAGATACAAATTAAATCATCATCATCCTTTGTTGGGATAATTAACTAACTAATGAAGTTGTATTCTGGTTTTTGAGGTCATTATAGCAATATAATTAATACACTGTAGCAGTTTTGGTTATACTAGAAACACTACTGCTTGACTGTTGAATTGTCATCTCCTCCATTATTGTTACAAAGTTTGTAAGAGATTGTTTCAGATATTTGTGTAAAACACAAGAGTTATCTGTTCTATCCATTCCTAATTTAGGATTGATAGACTAAAGGAAATGTACCTAGTCAACAACACCCACCAGCAACCTTTGGGCTACCCTAATTGACTGTTTTGGTTTGTTTTTAATTTTTCGCAAAGCTACACAAGGGCTATCTGTGCTAGCCATCCCTAATTTAGCAGTGAACCAATTTTTGGGCTACTCTTTTACCAGTGAATAGTGGGATTGACTGTCACATTATAATGCCCCTACGATTGAAAGGATGTGTATATTCGGTGACAGGTTTTTAAACCTGTAACACTCATATTGGGAGTCGAGCTCTCTAGCTGTTAGGCCTTGCTGTATCAAAATATGTGCATGTTTGGTGACAGAGATTCAAACCTACAACCCTCAAATTGTGAGTCGAGCACCCCCTAACTGCCAGGCCTTGCTGTAACTGTAAAGTGTGGAGTGTAATATAAACCACAGATCCTTGAGTCCACAGTTCACCATAATTTGTATGCAATGTTTGGCTGGTGATAAAAGAAGATACAAAAAAGAAATCTTTAAGTAATAGCGTACCTACAAAATTGGAAGCTTTAAAGGCTTAACCTACCAAGATTATCAGTGACTTGAAATCTTCAGCCACGTCTAGGCTTAACCCAGCAAGATTATCAATGACTTTAAATTTTCAGCCAGGCCTAGGTTTAACCTACCAAGATTATCAATGACTTGAAATCTTCAGTCACGTCTAGGCTAAACCCAGCATGATTATCAATGACTTTAAATCTTCAGCCAGGTCTAGGCTTAACCTACCAAGTTTATCAATGACTTGAAATCTTCAGCCAGGTCTTTTTAATTTTAATTAGTAGGTAATGTTATAGAAAAAGAAAACACAAAACATTTTTATGCACATTCAGAAATTTAAAAATCTAATAACCAAACAATTGTGACTAGCAAATTTTGAGTTTGGACTACTGTGACTTCTATATGTTTTAACTTGCAGAAAATGCATGTGTGTGCATGTTAAATATAACTCTATATATTTGATTATCAAAATATACAAAAGTTCTCCCTGTTTTTGTTTTCTTTCAACTCCTTAAATATTTACTGTCACTGATATTTTTTTAAGATTGGTAATTTGTTTATTGACGGTAGCCTAATCCATTGTAAGCTCAATATACAAACTAAGAATATCATGTTAACTCGGATAACTGATTATGGTTTGATCAAAGGTCATAACCAGTTCAAAGGTTTCTTAATCTATACTCAAAGCTTTTCTTTCATATTTTATAGTTCCTTTAATTTGTATAACTGTATGTATCATAAGTCAACTGCAATCAACAAAACCTTGTCGAACCTTTCTAAATTTGTTAAACTTGTATTAAAGTTTTCTTCTTTACCCATTCAAATCCTCTCCAGACTTTATAGACTGACAAAATAGATGAAAATAGTGAAATTAACTGTAACATCGATGGTATTTGTTAAAATTTTATATGTCTCATATGTCATTAGAAACTCTGTAACCGACAGTCATGAAACCAAAAGCTATTTGAAGTATACACAGATAAAAAGAAAAAATAATAATCTAAAAGGTCGACAGGGGATGTATGACCCCCCATTGGTTAAGCTTTTCTGTAGCTTTAAAAAAGAACTAATTACTAACCTTCAATTTTCAAATTAGCCTGATCAGCATGAAACACAACATTTCACTATGTTAAATAACTTGTAATAAAAGTTTTGCCAGTTTTATTTTCGTTTCAATAGTTTAAACTAACATGTATACGCTGTAACTTGATACTTTTTAAATTAGGGAAACATTCTTTTAAATGATAAATGTTCACTTCCTACTCATGTTCAAAATTCCATACTTTTGACTTTGTTCAATGGAAATAAAAGGTGGTCCAAAATGCTCGAAAAAATTTCCTTTTTTTTTTCACACGGGTTGACATATAGTTAGTCTCGAGTGAACTAGACTCTACCACCATTCTTATTCTGACAAAGAATGTCAATATAACATTAAGCAGTGCAAATTTTGTCTTCTCAGTGATTTTTATAAAATAATATATAACAAAATTTTGTAGTTTGCACTTTCAGCTCTTCACATTAACCATTCTATTACAGCTGTAATAAACTTGTGTATGAACTGAACTTAAACCTTGATTGAACACTGTATCTTAAATATTACAAAAAAATAACTCAAGAGTGAATTTTTCTTGGAATGCTATAAAATTGAAATTTTTAAATTGCAAATTTGTTGCTCTGAATAATTGAAACTTAGACACCATGGTCAACTTCTCGCTGACTTCTAATTACGAATTATCTTCTCAAACATTTATACCTGATCTAGTTACCACGATTCTTGAACATTTGCACCAAAAACGTTTAACTGCCGACTGTATAGTCTAGATATTGTACATCATAAGTTAGAGTTTAGTCAAATGTTTTGAATCTATATACTGTTTTAGCCGATGAATCCCAAATGCCAAACAAAAGTTGCCCTATATGTACAGTGCCAAAGATGTTCCACTTGGCTTTGTTTCATCAACGTATCAAGAATTATACCTCCCAAAATCTACTGAAGCTTCTGTTGCACAAATTCTGTAAATATTTTACGAATTCGTGCCTGGATATAGAAATATTTTATTGTTTTGTGTTTATCAGAAAAAATATCTTTTTTTTTATTTGCAATATCGTACATTAATATTTATTCTCTTAATACTTTATAAATTAACTTATTCTGACCTATTTTACATACCAAACCACAAACCTGAAGTAACTGAGGTGTCCTCCTTGTTTCAAAAAATATTTAGCTGAGTTAATTTGGGCAAACAAGTTCTTGCCATATTTTAAATTATTTACCCACATTTATTTATATGTTATCATGTATTACAATAGGCTATCAAAAACCAAAATAAAAAAATCCGACTTTTATGAGATCATTAAAAAAAACTAACATTGAAGAGGATAACTGATTGGACATAAAAATTGATGAACATTAAAGATTAAAATATGGAAACTCCCCATCTCACCCAATAACAGCTGGAAATATTCTGTCCCTCCCTATCTCACCCAATAACAGATGGAAGTATTCTGTCTCTCCCATCTCACCCACTAACAGTTGGAAGCATTCTGTCCCTCACCATCTCACCCAATAACAGCTGGAAATATTCTGTCCCTCCCTATCTCACCCAATAACAGATGGAAGTATTCTGTCCCTCCCTATCTCACCCAATAACAGATGGAAGTATTCTGTCCCTCCCTATCTCACCCAATAACAGATGGAAGTATTCTGTTCCTCCCCATCTCACCCAACACCAGCTGGAAGTATTCTGTCTCTCCCCATCTTACCCAATAACAGATGGAAGTATTCTGTCCCTCCCTATCTCACCCAATAACAGATGGAAGTATTCTGTCCCTCACCATCTCACACAATAACAGTTGGAAGCATTCTGTCCCTCCCTATCTCACCCAATAACAGATGGAAGTATTCTGTCCCTCCCTATCTCACCCAATAACAGATGGAAGTATTCTGTCCCTCACCATCTCACCCAATAACAGATGGAAGTATTCTGTCCCTCACCATCTCACCCAATAACAGATGGAAGTATTCTGTTCCTCCCCATCTCACACAATAACAGATGGAAGTATTCTGTCCCTCCCTATCTCACCCAATACCAGCTGGAAGTATTCTGTCCCTCCCCATCTCACCCAATACCAGCTGGAAGTATTCTGTCCCTCTCCATCTTACCCAATACCAGCTGGAAGTATTCTGTCCCTCCCCATCTTACCCAATAAGAGTTGGAAGTTGGAAGGTTAGACAACATTTTATGTATCTTTATATAAACAGTTTTAAGTTCAAACAACAAGTATTACTTTGGTATTCAGATAGTTTATATGGATAATATGTAACTTCTATGCTGAGAATATCAACAAACCAGTTTGACATTATTAGTGTCAGAATATTGTGGATGTACTATTCAATTTCTATCAAATAAAAGTTTGGTTTTCCAATTATTTCTTTAAATGTGTGTGTGTGTGTGTGTGTGTGTGTAGTAGTTTTATCTCAAGGTGAGAAGGTTTTGTTTTTAAACAACACTCGAAGTTCAATCTCTTTAATACCGTTTAACTTGTTTACAGTGTAATTATAACTCTATCAGAATACAAGGTATCATACGACTTGCACTGAAATGTACATATAAAATAAAAGCAGTATAAATATGTAGTAAAATATATTTTTTTGTAGAATCAACAAAATAGATATATTCTAAAGGTTCATTCTCACACAAAATTGATAAATGAAATATATAAAAAAAAACACAACTTAAAACCACTTTAATAACATATATATATGGATTAAAACAAGTATAAACTAAAGCAAAATAATATATTTAAAATAAGTAACAAAACGCTAGTAAGTCAGTGGAAAATGTAGAAATAAAAATAATTACATAAAAAAAGTGACCTTTATTTTGTCACCCCTTATGTCTACTCTTCCACGATGAGAGATTTACATTCATATAAACATTAAAACTAAATAACACGAATAATTTGAAAAAAAGGAATGATTACAAAAAAAAAATACCATTAATAACTTGTGAAGTTCTGGTTCCCAAAAAGACGAATACTAAACAGAAAATTACAGATAATAACTTCTCACATAACTTGCTGTAAAGTTTTCTGGGAAATACTAAACTTTTAAAAAACTCTTTTTCCTTCTGTGAGAAAGGTTACACATGGTTTGGTGAATTACAAATAGACAATAGGGGAAAAACAAACAGCATACCATGCAGTGCGTAAGTTCCTTGGGG